GGGTGTCTGTCTGTCTGTGATTCTGCCCTGCAGGCCACACCTTCTGGGGCTGGGTCCTTTTGCAGAGGTGGGGCTGAAGCCCTGCCCTCTGGTCCCAGCAGGTGTGCCCTGGCCCTCAAACTTCTGAAGATCATCATATGTGGCTCAGAGGTTTGGCCACCTGTGGCCTAGGAGAAGGGAATGCCTCACATGGCACTCAATCAACCCTTCTGATCCATTGCTCTGATCAACACTGACAAGCTACTCAGGTTGCAGTGTCCAGCTCTTCTTGGCCAGAGCTGGGTGTCAGTACGGCAAGGATTATGGGGTAGAAAATGGAGGCACTCTCAGAGAACCCATCCAAGAAGAGGAGACACAATGATTAATAAAAGAATTGATGACACTTCTGCACCAAACACACCGTCCCTACCGCCAACCATGGATAATGCCATACTGCTCTGCAATAACACGTGGACAGTTGTTCTCACCTCTAGTTTATTATGCTCCAAATACTTGTGGCGCCTGGGAGCAAAACTAAAATGCCTGGCTGCCAGGAACGGACTCCGGTAACTAAATTTAAATGCAACATGCATAACAGAAATGGCTGGTGTACAATTTAAACGATTACTCAAATGTGAAAATGATTTCCCTGTGCCATAATGCAAAGAGAAAAAAAAAACTTTTAAACAGACCAAATACAAGAAATCTCCAGGGTATAAGCAGTGTAAAGAGCCAGGATATTAGGACAATTTGACCCTGGATTTTTTTGTTGTTGTTAAAAAAAAAAAATAGCAGTAATTGGTTTGCCTCAATTATTGAGCTCATTTGTAGCCAACATGATGTTACGATGGATCACTTGTTGGGTTACCAGTTCCAAAGTATTCCAGATAATATTCATAATGGTCTCTAGTATTCTGTTTTAGAATACAAGAGATGTTCTATTTCAAAACATAAAATCTAGATCACCTTAATCATTTTCGCTAAATCCTGGAGAAAAATCTGTGACTAAAATCCTCTGTTAATCCAATTCTCAGATTATCATCTTGGCTCACTAGAACATTTTTTCCAAAGTGAACCTACTGTTAAAAATAGCCCACTATGCCTCATTAAATGGAAAGAAATTCAATAAAATCCGCCAGGGGAAATAGTTTAATCACTTTGTTTAGAGGGAAATACGGCATTGTTTTTGCTTATAATTGTTATCATACAATGAAAACTGAAAACAGTGCAGAAACTAAAGGAGACATTGAGTTAAAAAATGTTCATTAAGTCAATTAAAAAGTTCTCAGTAGAAGAGAGCATGGTTCACTTGCAGGTGTAAACCAGTGTAAATGGTAGATTCTCTGTAACTTGAAGTCTTTAAAACAAATCCAGTCCCCTCTATAAACCTGATCCAATGCTCACTACAGTCAATGGAAAGGCTCCCCTTTTTAAAAAAAAAAGGAGTGAAAAGGGCTTACTCCCAAAACATTTTTTCCTACAGTACCTGCTTCATAGGACGAAGAGAACCAATTACTCTCCAGCCACTGAATTCAGTCCAGTTTGAAATCTTGCCGGGTTCTAGCAGAATTTGTTTTCCTGAGAAACGTCCTCCCTCATATGCAATCCACCTGAAGAAAGATAGACAACACAATCCTGAGAAGTTAGACCCTAAATATTGCAAAACAAAGCTATATAAATAATATTTAATTAAATATTTTAAATCCAAAGGCTTTCCATGATAGGATTACGCTGTTTTTGTTTATATTAGTGTGCCAAATATGCAGAGTGCCTAAAGTGGGTTAACAGCTTTCTTCTATATCAAGATCTATTTTGTATTCTCTAATATTATTATAAAACCTGGAAACTATTTTAAACTTTTGACCTGGTCACATGAAGATTAAAAAAATCCCTCTGTAGAAATGGATGATATGTACAGGCTTAATGGGCATGTGAATGGATTCCTACCTTGCATAAGTCAACTATGCAAGGCACCCACATGGAGCACCGAGAAAGGCATTGCAACACACTATACTGCCACAATGTTTAGTTATAAGAGGGCAAACAGGATCTCACACAACTGTGCCAACATGTGAATCGAACTACATAAGACTCACAACAGTTACAAATGATTATGTTTTCTTTTGCTGCATTGTGGACAATTTTATTAGTGGTTGGACCTCACTGGTCCGGCACCATCAGGACCTAATTAGTCCCGGATGAGGGAATTTGCTGGACCAAAGAAGGTCCCCTGCCATCAGGCCCATCAGCCTGCCATGCCACCCCTCCCTACCTCCGGCTCCTTCGGCCCTGCTGCTGGCCAGGTGACATGGCTGCCCTGGCCCCGCTGCCAGAACTGCTGCTCCAGCCCCACTGCTGACACAGCAGCACGCAGCACTGGCCCTGCTGCCAGCCAGCGCACGGCCTCAGACAGACTTCCACTAATGGGCTTGCCATGGCCCAGCCTTACTACCAGCCAGGCTGCCGCGGCTCTGTTCCCACTGCCAGGCTGGCATGCAACCCTGTTTGGGCTGCTGCAGCACAACCCCACTGCTGGGCTGGCACACATGGGCTGCCCCTCCCCTGCTATCACAGCCCTACTACCCCCACCAGTCTTGCTGAACGCCTAGCCCTGCTACCATCAGCCTTGCCTTTCACGGGGCTCTCAGCAGCTGGCCCCCCTGCCCTGGGCTCTCATTCAGCAACATCCATGGTTCTGCTGGACCACGGATGCTGCCAGATGAGAGTCACGGTTTAGGGAGGTGCAACCTGTTTTTTAAAATGTTTGTGGGCACAATCATGGCGCACACAGAAGAGCTTCAGTCTTACCAGTGGCCAGCAATCTCAGTTTAAATACACTGTCTATTATACCAACATATAAAAAACCAGGAGAGCGAGGGAAAGGAGATTTTTTTGGTGAGAATAAGACTAGTGTGGAACTGCACCTGTATGCAATAAACAAGAGAATGTGAATTGCAGCCCTAAAAACACAGTGTGTACCCTTGGTATTCAACAGAACACACAAGGCTGCAACTCTGTGCTCATGAGGAAATCAGTGCAATGTAATTAGTCCTGTCACTCAGGTGACACAGACATCAACCAAAGGAAGGCACAAACACAGGTGCGTGTGTCAAATAGCATTAACAACACAGATTTAAGCTGTGTTTTCAATCTGTTTACTTGCAATGGACTTACATACATGCCACACTCAACTGCAGAGATGTATCTGTGTCTTGTTCTTGGAAATAAACCTTGAATGAGTCATTTAGACTGACTCTGACCTACACTACAGAATTAGATTGGTATAACTAGGATGATTGAGAATGCGAAAAATCCACATCCCTGAGCAGGAGAGTTATACTGACCTAAGTGCTGGGTTGGTGGGAGAGCTTTTCCCAATGACATAGCTAGCATTTCTTATGGCGGTAGAGTTCTGAAGGTGGCGGGAAAGCATCACTACAGAGCGCAGCTGCAGTGGTGCTGATCCAAGTTTGTAGTACAGACTTGCTCTGAGCATTTGATTAACACTAATGGCTTGGATGACCTCCTCTACCCTGGCTCACCTGAAAGGGTTCTAACAGCTGATCAAAATTGAATATGACGATAATGTCAGTGTCAATGGTGAGAGTGTTGCACAAAAACGGTAAGAGGTTTATTGGTTTTAAAGAAATACTTAACAAAAAATATGCAGAACTGGTTCAGTCAAAGCCTTTAAGGCCTATGACAATCCACATCCAGACACCAAGGGATATGGCCTTCTCCAAGCTGCAATCCCCACCTAACCTTTATTCCCTTAGTGCCTTAGGCCTGCACATAACAGTAAGTGCTCGGCCCATGTACACAAACTTTTAGTTGCCTTTAGCCTCTTCATCTGCTCAAAATGGACCTTGCATTTTTAGTCAAAAGGACAAGAAAAGCCTAAATCTTGCTGTGTGGAGTCTTAGTTGAGCTCTTTCTGGACCACCCAGAAAGAATGAAAGCCCTACAATTGTCCAATGTCTATTCTTTCAGTCCTTGGCAAGTGGTCCATTGACCTGGGGAGATATTGCAAGATGCCCAGAAAAAGGTGGAAAACCATAAGCAGCTCAGCAAACACTGCAATGGGGGAGGGTGCGAAGAAATCCCTTTCCAACTCTAAACTAGCCCTGGGGAAAACTCCCCCAAGATTTTTCCATACCTGCCCAGGCTCTTCCCAGGTGTAGAGAGCCTGTTAATATGGCCAGAGATAGTATGGGGTGAGGGGGAAGATTAGTGCTCTTTATAACCCTACCCCAGGGGCCGGCAATAGTTTTTGCCCAGGGGCCATGTCAAACATTTCTGAAGTAGCCCCAGGCCACCCTGCAAGGGGCAGGGCCTAAAGGGGAAGGGGTGGGGCTACCCCACCCCCAGACCAATCTGGTGGGGGAACCCTTTTCTTCACTTTCCCACTAGGCACCTATGCCCCGGAAGAGGCTTGGCACGCTCCCCCACCCCCAGGTCAATCAGGGCCTGGGGAGCCTGGGAAGCCTCCTCCCACCCTGTGAGGAGCACATGGCACTTTGAAGTGACGTGGGCTCCTCTCAGGGCAGGGGCAGGGGCAGGGGCAGGGCAAAGGAAGCTTCATGCGCTCCCCTACCCCCAGGCCAATCAGGGCCTAGGGCAGGGCAGTGCATGAAGCCTCCCCTCCCCTGCAAGCAGCACACACTACTTTTAAGTGCTACATGCTCCTGGCAGGGCGGGAGGAGGCTTCCTGCGCTCCCCCGCCCCCAGGCAAATTAAGGTTTGATGGGCGGGGGTAGAGCAGAGAAGGCTTTGGGCGCTCCCCTGCCCCCAGGTCCTAATTGGCCTGGGAGTGGGGGAGCAGCAGGGCCTCTGCAGGCCAGATCCACCTGCTTGGTGGGCCGGATCTGGCCCACAGAGGCCCTTTTGCCCTCACCTGCCTTACCCCCATTTCTCCCTTGTATGGGCCCTGGCCTCCCATCCTCTCAAGATGAAATATATAATATCCCCCCCATCTACCACACTTGTGGGCTTTTTCTGCCTTACACTATCTCCCCCCTTCCCCAGCAGAACCCTAAGGGAAAGGGGAGCTGGCAGAGGTTTCTGAATCCAGCCAGGAAGCAGAGTGCACACATACACGCCCACCCAGCAAACTCATCATAGAAAGGCAATTGGAAGAACACAAATGCTGCCTCAAATATTTCTATCATACTTACAATCCACTTCTCACCCACACAGACTGCGTGTAAAAGTGGATGTCCTTGTTCAGAACAGAACTGACAGCTTCTTCGAAGTGCAACTCTCTGCCCTCACAACATTCCAGGGCAAACAGACTGATGGAGGGTTCAGCAAAAACCTAGGAGAGAGGCAGCTATATTTACTCAAGACAGCCTAATTGCACCTTGTTGATATGCTGCTCAGGATCCTCATCTGTCTATTTCAGTTTTTAGCTTCGCTGTGGTACTGGTCTAATTTTGTGAACATTTATCAATAATTGAGCTTTTTGATTTGGCTCATAAACTTTGCTAGGAGTTTATATTTATTGAAGAAGCATAATGGTTAAAACAAAGAATGTGTAGCCAGGATCTGTGGGATCTACTAGCTTTGCCACCACAGTGTAGAGCCCATTGACATCAGCAGCTGTTGGTTTGCATGATAATAGGCTAGATCTGCTAAGATATTTAGATTCCTAAAAATGTAGATATGTTCCTATTGGGATTTTCAAAAGCACATAAATAGGTCAGGCATGTCATTTCCATTCATTTCAACTAAGAAATTAAGTGTCTAAGCATGTTAGGTACTGACTATCTTTCTGGATACATGCCTGACTCTTAGTCACTTAAATACTGTTGAAAATCTGTCCCTAAATATTGAAAAAAAACACTGCAAAACCGGATTTTGTTAAACCAAGAATTTGATATTTTCCTTCATAAAATCCAGAAAAAAAAATCAAGTAATTAGGAATCACGTTAATTAAAAAAAACCTTTTCAGCTACTGTTGTTTTTAAATTGTTTGGTAACAAATCTCTTGGCTTTAAAAAAAACCTTTTCAGCTACTGTTGTTTTTAAATTGTTTTGGTGACAAATCTCTTGGCCCTACTGACTCTAGAGAAAGATCCATAACAATTATTTGCAAAAGAGGTACAAGGTTGAAATTTGTGGAGTATATGCAGTACTACTACAAAAATAAACAATGAGAAAGATCCATAACAATTATTTGCAAATGAGGTACAAGGTTGAAGTTTGTGGAGTATATGCAATACTACTTCAAAAATAAACAATATACAGTATTCACTGCAAAATGTGTGATTTTGCATCAAATTAGATAATACAATGCAAAATCTTAATGGAGACCAAATACTTTAGAGTTTTTAGTTTGATATAGCTAGTCACGGAAAACTCTTACGTTGGAGTGTAGAGTTGACTAGCTACATCCAAAAGTTACCTGTACCTTCACCAGGAGATACACACACGTTTTTCTTGATGCAAAAAATACTCCCACCTCCTGCACCAGGAGATACACACACGTTTTTCTTGATGCAAAAATACTCCCACCTCAGTGACCACATGGCCTAAAAGTTGGAAGGTGCACAACTCAAACGTTAATGTTTATGCCCATGCAGTCTTTAGACTTCACGAATCAAGAAGGTAGTTAAGAATTTCTAGGGACATATTTCATGAGACTTCAGTTGTGATTCAGGACTTATGAATTTGTCACTGACTCACTGCTGTTGGTACGACTACTTGTTCAACTGGTATCTCCAGGAAACTGCTTCCTTCTGCTAACTAGCATGGTGTGGCACTGTTAGAAGCATAGCATGGTGTGGCACTGTTAGAAGCATTGCATATGATGAGAGAAAAGTTTTCCAAGCATCTTGAAAATGAGATTTTGTGTTACCCATCCTTCTGAGATAGCTTTGAACGCATTTTGGCCTTATCCTATGCCTCCTCTGAAGAGACAGGACAATTTGTGTGTGGAGAATGTTCCTTATTTCAATAGCTCAGTAGTTAATTTTAGGACTACTCTGAAAGTGAGACACATAGCAATAGACAGAGCTTCTGCTGAGGTTTCTCAAAGTCTGCAACAATCCAACTCTCAATTTAAGTCTTTAGCTGAAGGGAGACTGACAGTCATGCTGAACTCTGGGTCTATCTAAACGAGGAACTGACAAGAAAAAAGGTGCGTTTTAAAAACGCAGACACTACTTAGCACCTAGCAAAGATGCAGTTCAACACTTAAAATCATAAACTTTAAAAACAACAAAAGGTCTGGTAGCACTTTATAGACTAACAAAACATGTAGATGGTATCATGTGCTTTCATGGGCACAGCCCACTTCTTCAGATGACCGGAGTTATGAGTTTAGGATGTGCAGACCCAAGGGGGGGGGAGGGGGAAGAGAGAAGAGTTAAAAGGAAAAAGAGAAAGGGGCGGGAAACAAGGAGCAGAGGGAATGAAAATATCAAAGGGAAAAACAAGTAGGCAGATAGCTCATGGTGACGTAATATACAACATGACCAGATAATATGATTTAAATTTTTTTTTGTGCCATATTCTTAGGCATGTCTCCAATTGGAAAAAAAACAAAAACAAAAAACTTTGTGTCAGAGGCTTATGGAGTGCACACAGTTCAAACTAATGCTTCAGGGCATAAGTCAACTTTTGACTACCAAGGACTGGAAAGACATCTGTCACGTGGACAAGTTATTCTATAACTCCCAATATCAGGCTTTCCTCTAGAACTTTCTGGCATCAACCAATCAGAACCAGGATACTGGATGAGATGGACCACTGATCTCATTCAGTATAGCCATATCTGCATTAAGAGTCAATGCAGGAAATTGCTTGACAGCTGTTAGGAGCTGAAAGGTCTCCAGCCTTCAGAAAACGTTAGCAAAGTTATTCAAATGTGGCTGTATAGTATTTGGTGAGCTTCATTAGGCTAATCACAATCTGCAAGTCTGCATGGTGCATTAATTTATTACCATTTATTAGAGGTAGAGCCAGAGGAAAAAAACAAGAATCAATAAATATATTTCCGGTGAAACTCTAACATGGTATCAACAGATCTTGTGACAAAAATAAAAAGCAAAGAGGAAAAAATTGCTGTCTTAAATAAACGTGGCTCAAATATTCTATACAATGTTTGAAGTGCAATGATCAGATTACTTGCTGTACACCATTATACATCAGCAGCTGGCAGCAGCAATTTAGCCTTGCTTTTTTCCTCAGATTTTGTTTCCACAGCTCCCATGGAAACTACTATAAGGCCAGGTTTAAACTACAGATAAGATTGAAGCAGCCACAGTTGATCTTCCAGGGTTTGACTTAGCGGGTCTAGTGAAGACACACTAATTCGAACTGAGAAGGTGCTCCTGTTGATGTCCGTCGTCCTGTTTCTACGAGGAGTAAGAGCAGTCAAAAGGACAGTGTGCTCCGTTTGACTTCTCGCAGTGTGGACATGGCCAAAACTCAAGTTAAGATACACAACTTCAGCTACGTTAATTGCTTAGCTTAAGTTGAAGTATCTTAATTTGAATTTATCCATTAGTGTAGACCAGGGGTAACAGATTAAAGTAACTAGGTTTTGAGGGTAAGTTACCATACTAACAAGAAAAATCCAGTGCACCACCCAACTTCGTGAAATGCTGAGATACATTTACATAAGAAAAATCCAGTGCACCACCCAACTTTGTGAAATGCTGAGATGCATTTACATATCTAAGGCTGTGTCTAGACTACATGGCTCCATCGACGGAGCCATGTAGATGAGGGTTGTAGGCAAAGGGAAATGAAGCGGCGATTTAAATAATCGCCGCTTCATTTAAATTTACATGGCTACCGCGCTGAGCCGACAAACAGCTGATCAGCTGTTTGTTGGCTAGCACACTAGCCCCCCCTGCCCACATCAAGGCCTTTTGTCGGCAGCCCCGTTATTCCTGGTGGGATGACTTTTACGGGGGCTGCCGACAAAGGGCTTTGATGTTGGAAGGGGAGCGTTCAGACTAGCACGCTGAGCCGACAAACAGCTGATTAGCTGTTTGTCGGCTCAGCGCAGCAGCCATGTAAATTTAAATGAAGCGGCGATTACTTAAATCGCCGCTTCATTTCCCTTTGCCCAATAAACAAATCTACATGGCTCTGTCGACGGAGCCATGTAGTGTAGACGTATCCTAAGGGTCTACTCCTGCTATCTTCATTCATGCTGAGCAATATCTTACTTATTGAGTAATAATGCCCAACTCTTATATTGTGTTGTCATCCCTAGATCTCAGAGTGCTTTACAAAATAAGGTGAATATTATTACCCCGGGTTTGCAAATTAGGAGCCAAAGTGACTCGCTGAGCGTAACACGAGTCAAGTAGCAACGTGGGGAATAGAACCTCCCAGGATTCCTAACTCACAGGCTACTGAACCACATACTTCCACAGTAAAGGTACTTTCTCCAACACAATAAGGTGACAATTGAGTCCTAAATGAAAAGTTCCTGGAATCAGCTGCTGCACATGACACGATGCATCTTACTGCGTTTCCTGCCAGCTTTAAAAGGGGTACCACATGCCTTTAGAACTGGTGCATATACCTGGACCTCCAGATTGGACAAATATTTATTTATAATTCTAAATATAAGGAAAGAAAATCCTGATCCTAATGAAGTCTGGGGGACTTTTGCCATTAACATCAATGGGGCCAGGATTTCACTCCACGTAAATTTTTATGTTGCCACTCCATTAATGGGAAATTCTTTTCTTTTTCCACTGATAAGACCTAGCCAGTACAGCATCAGGGCTACCTGAGACATAAGGGCAGGGGCCTGCGGCGTACCTCAAAGGAGGAAGCATTAGGATTAGTCTCCATTCACAATTGATTCCAAGCCTTTCTGACGAGACTACCATCAAGGATGGTGATTATGATGTTGATATTTATTTTTTTAATACATATATGTATTAGGGATGTTAAATTGCGTTTAATCAGCTAATTGACTAGTTGATAAGCGGGGGTGGGGAGAACATCAGAGCCACAGTGGGGTTAGCTCCTGGTCCCGTGAACTAACCTCGCAGCAGCTCTGCCTTTTAAATGTATTAAGAGCAGTCAGGCTCTTAATACAGTAAACTTCCGATAATCCGGCACCTTCAGGCCCCAGAGGGTGCCAGATTATCAAATATGCCTGAGTACTGGAAGGGGGGCTAGGAGGGGTCTGGAGTGGAAGGGGTCGGCAGGGAACTGTGCAGCATGGGAGAGGGTGGTGCTGCGGGACCAACCCATCAGCACCCCAGCTGCTCTGCCCCCGGCTTCCCCAA